ATTTACTTCAAAAGACTATTCTACTAACCCCTCTGGAGAGATTATTTCAAGAAAAGTAGGATAATCTTGATTTTTTTACACTAATTTACTTACGTTTATGATTTTTAGGGAATATAAAATCATTCCGAAATATCTGTTGTAGCTTTAAGCGAGTCCATTCTCGATAAATCATTCATTTGAGAGAAGTTCTGCTTTTCTTGTAATGCATTTAGATCGCCAAATACTAAATCCATCTCTTCCAATGGTACTCCTTTAGTCTCGGGGATAACAAACCAAGTGAAGACAAATGCAATTATGGCAAAAGCCGCAAAAAATATATATGTTCCCCATTTCATTGTATCTAACATACGTGGTGTGATTAAACCAATAATAAAATTATTCATCCACGTCGATGATGTAGTAATCGATATTGCTTTAGATCTGATCCCAATAGAGAATATTTCTGATGGTAGAACCCATCCAATTGGTGCCCAGCTATACGAAAAATTAAAATCATATATGAATATGAAGGCTATTGCAGCTCTACCAGCAGTTTTGTGTTTAGATAAAGTATCGCCATATTTGCCAACTATTGCACCTACAATAACCAACGAAACGAAAGTCCCAGCTGCTCCAGCCATTAATAAGGTTTTTCTACCAAACTTATCAATGGCAAAGATAGCAGGAATAGTCGAAAGACAGTTAACAATCCCATACACACCAGTCCCTAATAGTGCTGTCGTATTCGAATCCATTCCTAATTGACTAAATATTGTCGGAGCATAATAAATAATGGCATTACAACCAATGAACTGTTGGAAGAACATAACTGCAGAGCCTATAAAGACCCTCCTAAAATTTGGTTTGGAAGAAAAGAGGTCCCAGTATGAGGATATATATAACGATATTCCCGATTTTCCTTCGAATTTTTTATCATTATATTTTTGTTCAAATAATACGTCTGATTTAATTTCGTTAAATTCAGCATCAACAAGATTAGGATTAATTCTTCGTCTCAAATAATTTAGTGATTCCCAAGCCTCATCTTCTCTTTTTCTTGATAAAAGCCATCTTGGTGATCTTGGAAAAAAGGACATGCCAATACCTAAGATGAAAGCTGGTGCAATCTGCAACCCAAATGGTACTCTCCACGAAGCGTCCTTTTGACCATAACAACCCCCTTGTGGAACATCCACATATGGATCAAATGAATCGCCTTTGTAATCTTGATCAGGGGCACATCTAGTTCCTCCAATAAATTGTGTACCATAGTTAATCCAAAATGAAATCAAAATTCCAATTGTAATTGATAATTGCTGTATGACAACTAATCCACCTCTCACAGAGGGTGGAGCTAATTCCGACATATACATGGGAACTACCATAGTCAATTGCCCGACACCGAAACCAGCAACTGCTCTCCCAGCGAAAAGCATACTTATTGATTTACCTGCACATTGAAAGATTGATCCGATAACAAATACAACACAAGCTATTCTTATAGTATCTCTCCTTCCAAATCTATCAACAACAGGAGAGTTTATCAATGAACCAAACCATGCACATAGCAAAAATGTGGAAACAAACCACCCTTTATAGTCAGGATCGGAAAAAATCCTGGGGAACTTTGCGGCAAAAGATTCCATAGTAACGATCCCGCTAATAACTCCCTGATCATACCCAAAAAGTAAACCCCCAATCGATGCGAATGCAATGATACAGAATACTAACGGATCCTTGGTCATAACAGTAATAACATTTCCTCTGGAATTATCTTTAAGTCCAATAGAATCAGACATTTTATTAACAATGTTTTCTCTTATTAGAAATCAAGTAATTTCTAATTATTGTGGAAAGTCTTTTATATTTAATAAATAAGGTACGGCGCAACTATCAATTTACAATAAAAGCATCGCCTTATTCACACTTGTTCTAACACCCCTCCACAAAACACCTCTTGGGCAACCTTTTGGCTTTTGTATGATTGTCAACGGCAGAAGTTGATCCGTATATATCCAAAAGAGTAGCGCGTCTATTGTGTAGGGTAGTAATCTCCACATTTCCCCACCCTCGTATTCATCAGGTTACTAGATAAAAAAATTATGTGAGGGCTAAGGAAACGTCAAATAGCGAATTCTCTCTGTTTTTCCGGGAGTAAGTAGAGCGAAAAATGATAAAATAGGAAAATGGTACAATCGAACAATAAAGTGTGCACAAAGCATTTCTGCAACATGGAATTGAAGTTAACAAATAAGTATATGAAAAAGGTTTATTAAAATGATGATATCAAATGGAAAGCCATTCTAAATCTATTTAATTCATTTTGCTTTTCTATTAAATTTTTTTTTTGGGTTGGGCTTTATCATGAATGAAAATTTAAGAATGATTTTAGAAAATGACTTGGATGCAAATATAGAAAAGTTGACCCAAAGAGTGATAAGATTGTATCATGAAAAGGAAGATAGCAACCAAAGGTTAATTGTATCTGTGGCAGGAGTCCCAGGATCAGGTAAATCGACTATAACAGCAAAGGTTTGCAAAAGCCTTAATAAGATGCTAGGCTTGCAAATTGCTACTGTTTTACCACAAGACGGATTTCATTATTACCGCAAGGAACTAATGGATATGAGGAATCCAGAAGCTCTTATAAAACGAAGAGGAGCTCCATTTACTTTCAACAGCTCGCGGCTCTTAGAACTGGTAAAGCAGGTCAAAAAAGACGGAAACACTACTATATTTGTACCAAGTTTTGATCACGAGTTAAAGGATCCACAAGAAAACTCTATAGAGATATCTCCTCTGATGAAGATTGTTTTGCTTGAAGGAAATTATGTTCACCTAAAAGATGATGGATGGAGAGAGTTACACTCACTTAGCGACGAAAAATGGTTGATTTTAGCTGATTTGAACATAATTAAACAACGACTTGTGCAAAGACATATCCTGGCTGGAATATGTACCTCCATAGACGAGTCAGTTGACAGAGTTGAGTCTAACGATTTGATAAATGCAAATTATATTATTGACCATTCTATCCAGCCAGATGTGATTTTCATGAACCAATAAAAAAAACGTCTTAAACATGAAGTCTAGTGTTACTCGAATCCGAATCAATTACATAATTATAAATTTCTACTCTATATATTGGTATGTGAATTTTACCATTCACCTGTATTTTTAAGCCACATTAATACCAATATCTATATTATAGACTAATCTGATTAGTCGATTCTATGTAAGCTTTGCATTCTTTGGATCGAAATGAGAAAATTATTATACTGCATTTCGTTACTGGTCACGATTTATTTAGGCTAATTTTTAGCATAACATCGAGTTCTAACAAATACCTTTTAGGCAGTATTGTGATAAATATAGATTAACATTGGTATGAAATGAAATATGAGGAGAGAGGAAGCAGTGTTCAACAAGCCTGTGACTCCTGTAGGCTACGAAAGTTGAAATGTTCAAAGGGTTTACCGCAGTGTCATAATTGCAAAGAACACGGTTGGAAATGTGTTTACTCTCCTAAAGCAGTCAGAACTCCATTAACAAGGGCATATTTAACGAGAGTAGAGAAAAGAGTTAACGGCTTAGAATCTTTATTGAAGCGGATTTTGCCTGAAGATGTAGAGATTAACGAGCTTTTACGAACAATTGAGATAGAGAAATCACATTCTATAGACGATGGTGATAGCAGTGGCATAGATGATGTAAGTCAGCAGTTCTATAAGCAGATCAATTTGACTGCAAATGAACTAAGCGAAATTCCTATTACATTGAAAAATATAAACAAAATAAGCCAAAGAAAAGCTAAAGTTGGTGCTACTGAAAAGAAACGTGAGTTTCAACCAGAAGATTATTTGATAAACATAGAAAAAAGTGATTTGAATTCGTTTGATGAGAGAGATGATTTTAATAATTCGCAGATCTTATACGATTCAAGTATTGATGGGATGGCAGCTTTATCAAATGATATTGGTTTGAATTTTGACAACTCAAATGGTTATTTTGGTATCAATTCAAGCAATGGTTTATTGAAATTTTTACAAGCCAAAACAAGGCAAAATGGGAACGGCATACTAAAATTGAACAATTATAATTATGATTTTAATAATGAAGAAAACGATAATGACCATATGCTAGATAATGAAATTAACAATATTTGGAAATCCATAAATAGTGGTAAAATTGAAGACTTATTGGATAATCTTGACTTTCAGTCCATTATGATTAATTCATTCTTTGAAAATTACTACAAAGTGTACCCTTTCATTAACAAAAAGAAATTTTTCTCTGAATACTCAGCATTCATTGAGAGACAAGAATCAAGATATAATGAGTATGATCTTGATATTAGCGAAGATGATAATAAAGTGTTGAGCTTTCAAGTATTATTGAATACAATATTAGCTATTGGAGTTTGGTGTAAGGTAGGAGAGAATTCCAAGATCCACACATTTTATTACCAAAGAGTTAAAGGCTTCATTCAACTCTTAAATATCTTCGAGTATAGTGATACTCAATTATTGGAAAGTTTTGTATTATTAAGTAATTATGTTCAAAAGACAAATAAACCTAACACTGGTTGGAGTTATTTGGGTCTATCGACTAGAATAGCTACAAGCTTGGGATTGCATAAAGAAGTTAGAATTGATAAGCACGAAATTAATAGTATTGATAAACTAGGATTATTTGAAGATATTGAAATAAGGAAAAGGTTATGGTGGGGGATGTATTTTTTTGATGTAGGTACCACTTTAACATTTGGCAGACCATTGACAATTCCTCCTTTAGGTACAATTGATTTAGAACCAGTATCGAATATTGATGATAACCTATTGGATGGTAGTAAAAGCATTGAAGAATGTATTGTTACATATCCAACCATTTACACTACGTTGATTTATGAGTCTGAACTTACGAAACTATCCACACGAATTTATAATTATAACTCTACTGTATTAAAATTGAAAAATGATAAATCTAAAATGATAGGTCTATTAGATATGAATGAATTGTTGGAGAATTTTATAAGGAATTTACCACTGTGTTTTGACGAAGACGATGAAAAATCACACACATATGTATTGAATAGCTGGTCTCACAATGGTAATGACAATTTATCTATCCCAAAGTGGTTTGCGGTATCTAGGTTGAGACTTATATGCAGATACAAGAATCTACAGATGCTAATATTTAGATACATATTGTGGGAGTCGACTAATGATAATTCATTTGATTTATCTTACTTAAATTTGATAAAAAGGTGTCGTAAAGCTTGCTTCAAATCATCTGTCGAGACTGTCATATTAATTGATAACTTTATCAAGAGAAATGAACTAGATTATTTGTCTTCTTGGTATGCTACATACTTTCTTTTTCAGGCAATATTAATACCCATCTTAAAGCTAGTTACTAATGACAATTCAGAGGGAAGTGTGTATGATGAATATTATTCAAGTGACGAGGAATTGTTTAACTACATTGAGCTTTCACGATTAAGTTTTGATAAGCTAAAAAAGTATAATAAATTAGCGGGTAAATTTAGCAAACTAATAGACACATTAATTAGTGACAAGAAAGATGTTGTTGATTTTATGTCTCAATGGAATGATGATAATATAAGCAACCTTGACCTGGTTAATAACCTTGATGATTTATTTCAGTTTGATACAAAATATTTTAATTTGAATAATTAAAATTCAGCATTATGCATTATCTATTAGCAATAGAAAATATCAAGAACGAGTAGGTGGAGGAATAGTTATTAGTATTAGTATTAGCTTTGTCACATCTCTAATTATTGGAATAATTCGCAACATGGATACATGCAATACATATGATTTTGAAATTAGCTCTGAGAACTTAGTGAATAATCAAGCTCTAGTTGCTATTAAAGCCAGTAAGTAATATAGTTTGAGATTATTTTATTTTCGAACGATTAATGAATTTTTGTAGATTTAAGAAGTTTTAACAAATTTTGAAAAAAAAGAATACTAAGAGCAAATAGTTTACTTCGTTGTTAAGTTTTGAATAAATATGTTCATTAATAGCTAACTACCATCTATACTAGTACAAATACGCAATGCCAAGCCATCGATCAATCGAAACATTTATGCAAAAACGATACACGTATCAAACCGAATTTATGAATATAATCTATATACTACATATCCTTTCGACTCTAATTCTTTACATCGCAAATGTAGGATTAATAAACATAATTATAGCATAGAAATACTATATATATTAAAAGCTTATAAAAAGCTTATAATTTTTGCATAGCAGCAATATCAGTAGATTGAACATGATCTTCATCATCTTCAATTGCACCTTGTAAATCGTCTAAAGAAACCTTATCATCTTCAACAACTAAGTTGATTTGTAATTTCTTGATACCGAAACCAACTGGGATCCATTGGTGAGCACCCCAAGTTAAACCATCTAATTCAACGGCCTTGACATTGGCTAATAATTCTTCTAAGTCGGTTTCATCATCCCATGGCTTGACATCTAAAGTGACAATAGACTTAGCAGCTGGCTTTGGACCCTTGGCGGCCTTCTTGGCAGCGTATTCGGCTAATCTTTGTTGTTTAACTTTTTCAGCTTCTTCGTCAACATCGTCATCGTCAGAACCGAATAAATCGACATCATCTTCGTCATCTTCAGCAGCAGCAGAGGCAGCTGGGACTTTACCGGCTGGTAAGTCAGCGAATTCTTCAGTGAAAGATGCAATGTGGTTAAACCATCTAGCAAATTGTGGGAATTCTTTTTGGAAAGCCTTGTAAACAGTAACGTCAGCTTGAGTAGCAGAGGTACTAGATGCTATGTTAGTATACTATTAATTATGCCACTTCGAAATTGATTGTGAGTCACAGACATATTTAAACCATATAATTAAAACAAATTCAGAATTGATATTTAGAATCTTCTTTGTCACTCATACGGTGGGTCTTGAATCCACCTCATAAACACGGACCAAAGATTAGGATCATCATTAAGTTTATTATAGTTTTAATGTTGATAGTTGTAAGCAATTGCATAATTAAAGCAACCAATTGCCTAAACTATAAAGTTTGTATCTCAAATCAATAACTTCAATTCAAATGATTTAATACATACCCTTCAATGTAGGACTTGTCAGCCAAGAATTCGTTTAATGATTTGATGGTTTCAACCTTGGAAAAATCGGAGAAAGACATTTTTGATATTGTAATTGATTTCTGTTCAGAAAAAGTTAGCTAAATTTATAATAAATAAATTAGGAGTTCTGATGAGTGGAAAATTTTTCGAAATTGTTGGAATTATTAGTTCGTTGTTCCAATTAGGGCTGCGATGAGTTTTAGTACAAGATTTACTCTTGCGCTTCAAACTATTTTAGTGCTGTATAAAATATGAGTATGATTTATCCGGGTAAGAAACATATGGCCCTGCTATTGTATGAAGTTGCAAAACACCAACACACAGTCATCAAGCAGCTTTATTACAAAATAAAGTTGGGGTCAAAGGGGAAGAGAAACAAGCGATGCAGAAGGAGTAGATATAAAATCAAGAGTTAAAAAAAACTGGAAAACAAAGTGTATAGAATAAATAGTGGCTATCGAAGCCTGTTATTATTAAAGATATACAATTAATATTAACCTTTCATAGAAAAAAGAAGAATAGGAAGAAATTTCTAAATAAAACAAGAAAACAGGCGTCTAGTGTTGTTATTAGGTTGATTATTAGAGACGTTGGTGGTTAAGTAGATTTCCATTGGGAACATTCGAATGTAGCGTAGCATCTGAATTCATTTCCTAATTCATTTTTATGTTCCGGGTAGAAATCGGTGATGAAGGTATCTGGATAATTTTTCTTAATCACGTCCTTCATTCTTTCACCAGTGGAAGTGACTAACTTGTATTTTAAGTCACCATTAACGGTCTTTTCAGATTTGTCCTTTACGAGAAGATTATGCGCGGCAATGGCGGAATTAGTCTGGCATTCTTCCTCCAAGAATGGGGGGTCCACTAAGACTCTATGACACTTATTTCTAAGGTGACTTGGAATATCGTGTGGTTTGTGATAGTCATAGAAACTGAAGTGGGACCCACCTAATAGTTCAAATCTTCTATCGTATTCAAGGATGTAAATGTGCTTGGTTGGTAATTCTTCCGGAGGAAATTTTTTAATGGCTGCATACACAGAGGGTGCACTTGCAATAACAATAATAGTGTCTTCATCAGCCCCTTCTAATAAAGCTTTACCTAATATTTCGGCTGTCTTATCAGCATACCAGAACTGAGAGAGCTGCCAGTCTTCTTGGAAGGTATCAATAGTAATATCTTTCAGTGCCGCAAAGTCCTCTTCAGACTTCTTGTATAAGGATGCAAAATTTTCCTTTCTTTCATCCTCCTCTTTTTTGAACTCCTCGAGAGCTGCTAAGGCGTGGGAAGACAAGCTTAAAGGTTCGTCATCTGACAACATCTTTTATTATCAAAAAAGTTTGTTTTAAAGAAACCAAGAAAAATGGATTCTTCAAGTATCGTAAAAAAAATCGATGTCGTCATCATAACAGTAGTGTATTTACCAAATACATAGAAAACGAGAAAACTGTATGGAACATCCTCTTGTTTACATGTAGTGGAATAGATAAACACCTAGCATCAATACTAAATAAGCGATTATTATGCTGTTTTCGTGTCCTCCGAGTGAGCTAGTTTCTCATATTTTGGAAACACTTGCTTTTTCTGGCCAACATGGCATTTCACTATGTGAAATGTGGGAGAAAGTGGCACACAAATTGCAGCTGCCATCACTAGATGACTTTCAGAAACAAATAATATGGCAATGGCTATTTTTTTATAACGAATCAGATACCTCGCAACATCTGTATATAATAGATGGAGATCGGCCTTTGGCAATATTGCCAATCTATAAAAGATTTTTGGAAGAAGTGGGCTCTGAAAGAACCCTTAAAATAATGCCTAGTTCTGAAACTCAATGGAGATATTTAACAGGTGTCGGAAATTCAAAACGATTAAAGCTTCAATTAGGGGAATATCCATTTCAATTACTATGTGAGATAGCAAAATATGGCCGGGATGGTATTTATGCACCGGATTTATGTAAGGCTACAGGCCAAGACCCAAGGTCTTTGACTTTAAGATTACGAAAATTGGAAGAATTGGGTTTTATCATAAAGAAAAATGTCTATAATGAAAAATCTAGTCAACATACGAGCTTATGTATTCATAAGAAATTCAGTGAAGATGAAATTGAATCTGCTCCTTCTGATTTCGGGGAAGATTTCGATAGTTCAAGAAATGTTAGTAAATTAAAACAATTCATCATGCAATCATTAAAGAATGCGCCTAATAAGCTAAGAGGATTTAAGGATTTGAAAAGTGAACTAAAGTTGGATAATGGAAGGTCATCAGGAAAGTTTTTTAGAAGTATTATCGAATATCTCCACAAGCGTGGGTATGCAGAAAGGTTAATGGTTAAAGACCCAAATCAGACACAGCTAGTTTATTGCATCAAGTATATTAAAGATATTCCTAAAGATGCAGATGAAATTTCTGATTACGTCGATTTCTTTAACGAGCTTGATGACAATCCAAACCAAGAAGATGACGACTATGAAAACGACGCAATTCCGACTTTTAATACAATATTTCCTTTATCAAACCAATTATATCAGAGTATTTTGAGTACAGAAAACAATGGAGCCACATCAATGGAATTAATACGGAATTTGACAGGTTTATCAGATTATCGTCCGATTATAAAGCTATTGGATTCTTTAACCAGTTATGTAATTGATAATGGAAAACCAAAGGCTTTGAAAAATTATAGCGATGCTTATAACAAAACAGCTATAATAAGAGCATACGATTTTGAAGGAAAGTTTAAGTTCTATAGATATTTCAGTACGCGTTTTTCAGGGTCATTGCCTCTTGAAAAGTCAAAATCTAATAAGAATGCTTCGTCGGCAGTTGAAAATATTTCGCTTGAAAATTTGAATAAGAAATATTATAAGCCATTGGGAAAAGTGCCACAGGGACCGTTGGTTAATTCTAAAAAAAGAAAGCTGGATTCTAGTAGTAAAAGATCAGTTAAGAAAACAAAAATTAATGCTGCTGGTGAAACTGAAGTTAAAAAGCCTAGAGGTAGACCAAAAAAAAATTCCGAAAATAACACTAGCAACTTGGAAGCTTCAGAACCCTTCTCAACTGCTTCTTTATTACCGGGCAGTGATAAATACCAGCTGGATGAGAGATCATCAAAGATTGAAGCAATTCCTTCAGATGAAAGAGATGAATTTAATATTAATGGACCCATAAATCTAAGTGAAATACAGTCAATTGAGCCCCCAGCAGATTCGAATTTGAAATTTCAGAGAAAAAAAGTGATATCCTCAAAACAATCTACACATTCAGGGTCCTTAAAAGCAATAAAAAGAAGAACTGAGCTAATAAATATTATCAAAGATATGGGGGGAGTGACATATACTACTGCTAATTTATGCCGCTTATTGGATAAAAGACTTTGCAATTCAACTATTACTGATAAAAAAACCTTAGCTCGAGATGTATCATTGCTAATAACTAATGGCGAACTTGAAGTTCAAGATATTCAATTTGTTAGATCAGGGCAGCCTATTTCTAGAAAACTATTGATTTTGACTTCTCCTGATCTCAAGCCACTGGATGACAAGATTGAGGAGATGAAACAGCAATGTTTGATAGATAAAGGGTTACGGCCAAACAATCAAACAAGCAGACGTATAATTGAAGGGGAAGTTACTATATATTCTCAGCCTAAAAGACCACCAACTAAGAAAGAAAGAAAAGGTCGTTTGGAATCGTTATCTGAAAGAGATCAGCATGTATCTGAGAATATCAGAGAAAGCAATATTATCGTTAAAGAAGAGAATGAATCATCTACTAAAGTCGATGCAAAGCTGACTGATGCAAAGACTGGAGATCCTCTTTCAACGCTCGTCTCGTCGAAATCTAAAAGAAAAAGAAAAGCAACATCCAAGAAAGGAAGTGGAGCAACTAGTACATCTAATACCAAACTTCGTTTGCCTATTAAGTTCGACAAGTCTGATGCAACCACTTTATACAGAGCAGTTGTTATTTCTCGAACTTTCAAAAGAGGGGCAATTGATTTTGAAAAAATTGCTACATTGTTTAAAGATGTAAATGCTAGTGAAATTAAACTGAAATGGACACTGGTAAGAAAACTTGTTGGTGGATTGGCGGCGGTAATGAAAGGTATTTCTTCGTTTGAGTACGTCGTAATGAGAGGCATAGAAGATGGGTTTGTATCAGCAAATGATTTGGAATCTAATAATCTTCAATTCTTTTTGGATTTGTGGAGGGATACAGACAGTTCAATTTTAGATGTTGTAGATAAATCTCCATTATATGACGCTGTGAATGATAATTTGGAAGAATATATATTCTCAGAATCTAGTGATCACCAGCAAGATATATTTGAACAACTTGAAGATAATTCAATGAGACGAAAAGAATCAATACTTTCAAGTACAACTTTCACGTATAGTAAGATACCCGATATTAAGAAAGAGGAATATGATGAACAGAGAACTGCTTTGAAAGCTATATTTGTCACGCCTGAAGATAAATTTTCTAGTGATAGAGTGAACCAAATATTATCCGAATATGATGATGAGGCTATAAAAGAGGCGTCTCTAGCTCTTATTAAAGATAAAGAACTTTCCCACTCTTTGGATGATTCGAACACCAGATTTATTTTAACCGATAAAGTTCACAATGCCCTTATCCTGAAAAATTTTACTAGTAAGTTTTTCATTCAGGCTGCCGAGTTTAAAAATAATATGTTAATTATTTCAGAAGCATCTAAGGGTCTTATTTTATCGCATGGTATCCTAAGTGGCCAAATGGCAACTCTCTTGCATTTTCTTTCACAGGAAGTTGCTGATTTAATTCGTGTAGATAAGTCGTACACATTTAATGGTTATGAATCAAGATTGATCGATAAAGAAAAACTAGCTTGTGATATTATTGCAATCGGTGATTATTCATATATGAAAAGAGAGAGTATTAAGAGTACACCAATACCAACAGGGAAAGCTTGCTCTCACATATGGCTTGATTTGAATGGAAACATTAATACTCAAATGTGGACAAAGATTATCATAAGCATCCTTTATTATATAGTTTTCAGGCCGGGTGTGCCAGAATTGATTGTTTATTCAAAGTTGCGGCCAGTACTTGGATATTCAGATTTTCATTGTGTTATGAAGTGGCTTCAGAAAACTAATTGTATCCATAAAGGCAAGAACCAGGGGTATTGGGTGAAGAATGATTGGTTTTCTATTCTAGGCCATTGAGCTGAATTGGTATATTCGATTTATATAGTTTGAATTTATATGCTAATTTATACGCAGGAATACATCGCAGAAGTTCTTTTAAATTTTTTTTTTTATTTTCCTATCTGTAGCTGTAGTATCTAAGGAAGAAGATTGAAGAGTTAATTTGTAGCATTATGGGTTTAGCTGGGACTAAAGTGAAACAAAGATTTGGTTTAGATCCAAGAAATACAAACTGGTCCAATAACACGTCCAGATTTGGTCATCAGTATTTGGAAAAAATGGGATGGAAGCCAGGCAAAGGGTTGGGTTTAGTTGAGCATGCCACCACCTCACACGTCAAGGTTTCCATCAAAGATGATAATATGGGATTAGGTTCCAAACTAGCTAAGAAGCAGAAAAGCGACGAGTTTGATAGTGGAGAATGTGCTGGTTTAGATGTTTTCCAAAGGATTCTTGGGAGACTTAATGGGAAAGAGGAACAAATAAACAAAGAGATAGAAAGAAAAAGGAAAGATACCATTATTAATGGTAAATGGGGAATTCAATTTATCAAAGGAGATGTTTTGCAAAGTACGTGGGACAAAGAATCTAAAAAGCTTGTCGATAGTGAAACTTCAAAGAAGAGAAAAATAGACTCCGTAGACTCCGTAGACTCAAGTGAAGAATCAGAAGCGGGTTCAGATAATAAACTGCATAAGAAGAAGAAAATAAAGAAGGAAAAAAAAGA